TTTCTCCCACAGAGTAGCTGGTGGGTTCTAACTGCAAATCTTTCAGTTAGCAGCTGAGTGCTTAACCACTGCACCACCAGGACTTCTTTGATTCAAGTATATACTTTGAAAATCCTGAGTCTGCTAGTCATTTAAATACACCTTCTTTTAGTCGCAGATTCCCAGGGTCAGAATATGACTAGAATGCATGTTTAAAATACATCGAATGTATGCAGCCATAAAGAGAAGTGAAGTTCTGATGCATACTACATCATGGATGAACCTTGAAAACATCATGCTGAGCAAAATAAGGCAGTCACAAGAGGACAAATACTATATGATCTCATTTATGAGAAATAAGGAAATATATAGAAACCAAAGATTATTACCAGGGATGGGGAGGGGGGAGGTGAGAGTTTTAGTTTTAGGGACATTGAGTTTATGTAATGGTGGTGGGACATTTTGGAAAAGGGTAGTGATAGTGGTGGCACAACTTGAAAAATGTAATCAGTGTCATTGAATTGTAAATGTGGAAGTTGTGTTGATGAATGTTTTGGTGTATATATTTTTACCACATCAAAAAAGTTTTTTTCTTTTTTAATTTAAAAACCTTATAAGGAGCCCTAGTGGCACAATGGTTAAGCACTCGGCTGCTAACCAAAAGACTGGTGGTTCAAACACACCCAGTGGCTCTGTGGAAGAAAGACCTGGCTGTCTACTCCCATAAAGCTTACAGCCTAGAAAACCCTATGGAGCAGTTCATCTCTGTCACATGGGGTCCCCATATCTCAGAATTGACTGAATAGCACCCAACAACAGCCGACAACCCCTACAGAGCACAGTTCTCTCTGACACGCATGGAGTCACCATGACTCGGAATCAACTCATGGCAATACTGGTTTACCAGAGCAGAAACTTTATTGACTATCTTCTTTCCAATAACATTTAACAAGACCATCAATTTAAAGAAAAAATTCTTAAAAAAATATATTGAATGTATCATAGGTGTGTGCTGAAATCATAAAATAAACTCTGCCAGCAGCCATACAGTACATGAGCTGCATCACTTGCCTCTCTTATCAGTAAATACTGTTCCTGCAGTGACCACAGCTGCTTCTTATGTGTTCACAATCACCTGGGATACCCGACAGCTTCTCTGGATGACACTTTGGTTCTTTTTTTTTTTTCTCTAGTGATAAAAATATACATAACAGAACATTGATCATCTCACCACTTCTACATGTACAATTTAGTAACTGATTACATTCTTTTTTTAATTTATCTTGGTGTTGAGAATATACACAGCTAAACATACGCCGATTCAACAGTTTCTGCATGTACCATTTAGTGACATTGTTTACATTCTTTGAGTTGTGCAACTATTCTCACCTTCTTTTTCTGAGTTGTTCTTCCCCTGTTAACAAATTCACTGCTCCCTAATGTTCCTATCTAATCTTTTGAGTTGCTGTTGTCAGTTTGATCCCTTATAGATAATTCTTAAAAGAGCACAACACTCAAGGCAGACATTCTTTATTCCAAAAAAAAAACAAACCAAACCTGTTGCCGCTGAGTTGATTCCAACTCATAGTGACCCTATAGGACAGGGTAGAACTGCCCCAAAGAGTTTCCAAGGAGCAGCTGGTGGATTCGAACTGCTGACCTTTTGGTTAGCAGCCAAATGCTTAGCCACTATTTGGTTTTAAGAAGACTTCAGTGGATATTTTTGGTTTAAGGTTTAAAGATTGTCTCAGGGCAGTAGTTTCAGGGGTTCGTCCAACCTTCATGATTCCAGGAAATCCCTTAGAATTTGTAATTCTGTTCTGCATTTTCCCGCTTTTGATCAGGATTCTTCTATAGACTTTTTGATCAAAATGTTCAGTAATGGATTACATTCTTTATGTTGTGTAACTATTCTCGCTATCCTTTCCAATCATTCCACCACCATTAATATAAACTTGCTGCCCCCTAAACAAAAGCTCCCCCATCCCCCTCCCTTCCACCCATGATAAAATCAACAAAACCCATTGTTGTTGAGTGGATTCCAACTCATAGCGATGCTGTAGGACAGAGTAGAACTGCCCTATAGCGTTTCCTAGGCTGTAATCTTTATGGGAGCAGATCACCAGTTCTTTCTCCCAGGTTTCCTCTGAAAGGACTTGAACCACCAACCTTTTGGTTAACAGCCAAGCTTGCTAACTGTTTGTGCCACCCAGGGACTCCATAATGAGGCCAGCTGTACAATAATTAACTGGCCGTCATACAGTGTTATTCCTTACGTATATTGTTTCTGATCCAAAGTGAAGACAAGATAACCCTTAGGCCCCGAGCCATGTGGGGACAGGAGCATTGGTTGAGCAAGAATATGTTTCTGTTGTTTCAGAGCTTAGTGATATTTGGCGATGTGTCCGTGGTTTTCTCCCAAGATGAGTGGGAATGGCTGAACCCTGCTCAGAGGAGCCTGTACCGGAATGTGATGTTGGAGAACTACAGGAACTTGGTCTCCCTGGGTAAGGCTGTTCCCCGCCCCATCCTCCACCTTTGCTGTAACTCAGAAGCCTTTCCCTCCTTATCCCCACATGGCCCTTCTTCCATCCAGCAAAGGGGACTACATCTCAAGTCAGAACAAACCCACCACATGACCACGACCTATTTCCTTTTATGTATTTCTGACTGTATGATTAATAGTTGACACAAGCCTAATATAAAATAATCAAAACTCAACAAAATTTGAATATAAGGCTTATTCTGAGCAGTTATTCTATATGCATATAAAAACCAAACTCATTGCCATCAAGTCGATTCCGACTCATAGCGACCCTATAGCTATAAGGAGACCATTTTGATTCCAGAAAAAGCAAATGGTTTGAAGAAGCTAGGAATAATGAGGTTTATGAAGAGAAGAGGAGGGAGAAATATTGAAGAGTACCCACTGGCTAATCTTAACATGATTGATTAAACCCTTCCTTCCCCCTTTTACTGAGATGAACTGACATCAGGTCATAAGATGGTCTCTGGCCCTCCACCCAGCCATATCTTTTGAAATTCAAATTCAGCAAGCTGGACTTCTGAATAGGAAAGAAAAGATTAGCAACTATGGGTGAAAGAAAAGCCACTGGCAGGATCAACCCTGGTTAGGAACTTCTTTACAGTGAATATTTGGTTTCTTGAATAAGAAAACCCCCAAATCAAAACAAGACGTCTGTTATGTCTGTTATTTTTTTCTTTGACACTAATTTCCAAACTGGAAAGTTCATGCATATTCCCTTTCCCTCTTCATCATTCTAACACCAGCCACCCATGTGGAACTCTCTCTCTGACCCTAACAACCCAGAGCTTAGTCTCCACAAATTAGGATTCTGTCCTTCCAGCCCCTGCCAAGTAAGCAAATGCCAGCCTCTCTGCTGGTTCTCACTGCCCTGGGTGGGTTCGATAATTCACTAGAATGACTCACAGAACTCATGGAAACTATTACTTGTATTTACAGTGACCCAACTGTTATAACCAGAAAGAATACAAGCAAAGAGATGCATCAGGCAAGGTCTGGGAGAGTTCCCGGCACAATGAGGCTTCCATTGCCCTCAGGGATATGCTGCACCTTCTCCCACATAGGGATGTTCTCACCGATCCAGAGGGGCCCAAAAAAGGAGCACTCCAAGGTCCTCGGTCCTCTAGTCTTTGGGACCTCAGTGAATATGACTGCATCAATCCCCCACCCCTCTTCCTGAAGTTGATTTGGGAGGTGTGGAGTCTGTGTACCCCCTACTTGCCTGGCTGTTTTAGAAAAGAAACCAAAAACCCAAACGCATTGCCATCAAGTCCATTCAGACTCATAGCGACCTTATAGGACAGAGTAGAACTGCCCTATAGGGTTTCCAAGGCTGTACTCTTTTTGGAAACAGATTGCCATATTTTTCTCCCACAGAGTGGCTAGTGGGTTCGAACCACCAACCTTTTGGTTAGCAGCCGAGTGCTTAACTACTACACCACCAGGGCTCCTTTAGAAAACAAAGAACACCTTAATTGCTTGGCTGTTTTCAGAAACCACAGTCAAAGGGCCAAACCAAGTTCTTTGTCCCACACTGATCCACTGTGCCACATGAGATTGCCATGAGTCATAGTCTACTTGACAGCAACCGTTTTTTAAAATTTTATTTAGGACTTTGCATTTCTAAGCCTGATATCATCTCCTTACTGGAACAAGGAAAAGAGCCCTGGATGGTGAAGAGAAAGATGACACGAGGCTGGGGTCCAGGTGAGTGTTGGAGAACTCGGTTGGGGAAAGCCACTGCAGGTCACAGCTCAGCCACCTCAGACACATAGTATCATCAACAGATTCTTCTTGAGCCCTCTGGGCCTGGAGAGAAAGTTAAGGCCCATTTACCATGGGCTTCCCAAATTTTCGTTCTCCCCTATCTCTTTTCTCCAACTTTGCTTCCCTTCCTTTTCTCTGCCCTGGGTCCCATTTTCTCCTAGCTTCTCTTCGCCTTTGTCATTCAGACTTGTATAATCATCTCTGTTCTTTAAAAAAGTCTTTTGCTGATTTTGATATACTTTGTGTTCTCTTAAGTCTTTAATTAAGGGACTGTTTCATGCGTTGACTTATTCTTAACTGATGTTAATTGAGTTACAGCTTTGAGCACGGCCACCGGGTCCTGGTTGGGTGATAAAATGAGTCTAAGCCATTAAAAAATTGACCATCCAATAAGGGATAGGGGAGATAAGACATATCTATACATATCCATAAAGGTTCCTAGGTGGTGCAAACGGTTTGTGCTCAGCTCCTAACTGAAAGGTTGGCGGTTCGCACCCACCTAGCAGTGTCGAGAAAGACGGGCTTGTCTGCTTCCTTAAAGATTACAGCCAAGAAAACCCTATGGAGCAGTCCTACTCTGTAACACATGGGGTCGCCATGAGTCAGGGTCAACTCAACAGCAACAGGTTTGATTTTTTTGGTTTTATACATGACCTAAAGGAGCCCTGGTGATGCAATGGTTAAGTGCTCAGCTGCTAACTGAAAGGTTGGCAGTTTGAACTCAGCAGTGGCTTCTTGAGAAAAAGACCTTGCAATCTGGTCCCATAAAGATTACAGCCAAGAAAACCCTATGGGACAGTTCTGCTCTAACAGTGAGGTCACCATGAGTCAGAACTAACTTGACAGCACCCAACAATAACAACAACGTACATGACTAAAATAGAAAATGCTGTTCTATATATAAATGTAAATAGAGATCAAGAAGAAGAAGAAAAATAATTTCCAGTTTCAAGCCAGGGAAGCAGGAACAAGACTAGAGCTGTTAAGAGAAACATTAAAACTAGAAGAAGAAAGAGATTGGTGGCTCAGGAGATGAGGTTGGGTTGGACCATGATAGATTTGGGGTTTGAGTGGACTTCCCAGTGAAAATAGGCGGTGTGCAGTTGGATTATGGGACAGGCTTCTGGAAGGCTGGAGCCTTGGATGTGGGCTTTTTACCTCCCCCCGCCACACCCTACAACATTCACAGCCATACAGTAACCGAGATCATCAATGTTGTGTACTGGCAGAAAGAGTGGAATGTGCTCAGTAAGGGGACGGCACAACAGAGGGGGAAGGAGCCCTGCTGGCACAACAGTTAAGTGCTCAGCTGCTAACTAAAAGATAGGTGGTTCACTAATGACTGCCCTGACAGGGAACACAACAGAGAATCCCTGACAGAGCAGGAGAAAAGTGAGGTGCAGAACTCAAATTCACGTAGAAAGACCTGGCTTAATGGTATGACTGAGACTAGAGAAGTCCTAGAAGATACGACCTCCGGACTCTTAACCTAGAACTAAAGCCATTCCCAAAGTTAAATCGACAAAGATTAGAGTGGACTGTAAAACATAAAATAATACTCATGAAGAGTGTGCTTCTTAGTTCAAGTAGATACACAAAACTAAATGGGCAGCTCCTGTCCAGAGGTGGGATGAGAAGGCAGAAAGGGATAGGAGCTGGTTGAACGGACACGGGAAATGCAGGGTGGAGGGGAGAGTATGCTGTCACATTATAGGGATAGCAACTAGGGTCACATACTAATATGTGTATAAATTTTTGTATAAGAAACTAACTTGAGCTGTAAAGTTAATTTAAAAAAAAAAAAAGGTGGTTCAAACTCACCAGCTGCTCCAAGGGAGAAAAGACCTGGCAATCTGCTTCCATAAAGATGACAGCTGAGGAAACCCTGTGGAGCAGTTCTACTCTGTCACGTGGGGTTGTTATGAGTTGGAATCAACTTGACAGCAAACAACAAGCTAGAGTTACTCATGCCAGTTCCTGCTACATGAAGCCACTGTTGACACAGCATAGTGATCCAGTAATATCAGTTACAAAATGCAAGGTGAGTACCTCTGTGTTTTCTCACTGAGGTGAAACCAGGAAGTCTAGTTTACAAAGTTAGACCAGCAGCATACCCTCATCATTCAGAGAGGTTTTTAACCTTTAGCTGTCGATGTTTCATATATCATATGAGATGAAAGAAGCACAGGTACAAGACTTCCTCCTCAGTGTTACACGGTACAAGAGCTAACTTAATACTCACAAACATTATGACAGTTGAAGGCATCTATTGTTAGTGTACTCTCAGGCTCTCATAGCCAAGAGGATAGTAACAGCTTCTTGTTGGGTGCTGCCGAGTCAGTTTTTCACTCATAGCGACCCCATGTGACAAAGTAGAACTGCCCCATAGTGCTTCCTAGGCTGTGATCTTTATGGGAGCAGACTGCCACATCTTTCTCCTGTGGAGCAGCTTTTGGGTTTGAACTGCTAACCTTTCTGTTAGCTGAGCGCTTAACTGTTTGGCTGTTGTGCCACCAGGGCTTCTTAGTAACAACTTAGTGAACCCAAAAATCAGTCGCCTTCCAGTCAGCCTGACTCATCGCGACCCCATGTGTGAGCTGGTCTTAAATATTCTTTGATGATGAAACTTCTTCATTCCGCACTTGCGACACAGGGAGATCAGGTAGAGCTGTGGAGCAACCAATAGGTTGCTTGATGTCATGCATCGTTCTCCCCTGTGGTTGTAATCTGACATTTTCTTTTTAAATAATATTTTATCGTGTTTAGGTTCCCATTCAACAATTTCTACAAAAGTTGTTCAATGACATTGGTTACATTCTTTGCAATGTACGAATGTTCTCATTATTTCCATTCTGGTTGTTCCATTTTCATTAATCTAGTTTCCCTGCCCCCTTACATTCTCATCTTTGTTTTAAAAATAATTGTTTACTGTTTGGGCCCGTATAAGTGATTTTTTTTTTAAAGGAGCACTGTACTTACAGATGATATTATTTTTTGAGCCAGTATGTTATTTAGCTAGAAGGTTACCTCAGGATTAGTTTCAGTGCAAGGTTTGAAGAGTATCTCAGGGCAGTAATCTTGGGGAGTCCTCCGAACTCAACCAGTCGAGTAGGTCTGATTTTTTGTTTGTTTTAGGATTTGAGGTTCTGTTCCACATTTTTCTCCCATTCTATCAGGGTCCATCTACTGTGGCCCTGATTAGAACAGTCAGTAATGGTATCCAGGCACCATCTAGTTCTTCTGGTCTCAGGGAAGATGAGGCTATAGGATGTGACTGATGTTTGGTGACAAAGGTTAACAGCCCTGCTCAGTCTCCATAAGGATTTATTTCCTGACCAAAAAAGTAGTTAAATTAGTTCCTTGCCAAAGGATTTTATTAGTATAATAGTTCTGCCTTACGAGTTTTGTGATCTCTGTACCCACCTCAGAGGTGTTGTTGTTGTTAGGTACCGCCGAGTCGATTTTGACTCATAGCAACCCTATGTGACAGAGTAGAACTGCCCCATAGGGTTTCCTAGGCTGTGATCTTTACAGGAGGAGATTACCAGGTCTTTCTCCTGCAGAGCTGCTGGGTGAGTTCACACCACCGACCTTTCTGTTACAAGCTAAGTGCTTAACTTTGTGCCACCAGAGTTCCTTATCTCAGAGGTAGGTAGCTAAAGCCAAATTTCAATGTATGAGAATAAAAATATGTATTTTTTGTGAGACAAATTACTGTGTGGTTATGAACAAGTGTGTGAAATCAGAAGCAGGAGCTTGTTCAGAAACAGACTTGAAAATTTTATCACTTACCATGGAATGGCACATACTTGTTTCAGATCTGGAATATCTCTACACACTCCGGAACCCAGCCAAATTTTACTTGTCAGGGTGAGGTTACTGCCAGCAGTTCAGGTTGTTGCTGTCATTAGTGGTCATCAAGTTGGCTCTGACTCGTGGTAACCTTATGTAGCAGAATAAAATGTTGACCTACTGATTTACTTCCGAAAAACCAGCCATTGAACACCTTATGGAACATAGTTCTACTCTGACAAATATGGGGGCGCCATGAGTCGGAGTTGGCTCAACACCAACTTGATCACAAACTGTAATGATCTTGCTCATTTATGTATTTACCTGTATATTAGTTTTCTCCCTGACTAGAAAGTAAGTTCCATGAGGAGACCACCTCTGTCTTGTTTACTACTGTCTTATGTAGGGCTAGTACTGTTGCTAATAAAACAAACCATACCCACTGCTGTCAAGTCAATTCCAACTCATGGCGATTCCCTGTGACAGAGTAGAATTGTGCTCCATAAGGTTTTCTTGGCTGTAATCTTTACGGAAGCAGGTTGCCAGGGCTTTCTTCTGTGGAGCCACTGGTGCGATCAAACTGCCAACCTTTAGATTAGTAGCTGAAAGCAAACTGTTTGCACCATACTATATCCCTCATGTACTACTACATTATATTTAACTATGTTTAGTTAGGGGGACTAATAAATATTTGTTAAACGAGTAAGTAAATAAAAGCGGGATCCTATTTGACTTCTCAGCACATATTTTAGGTATTTTTACAAACTTTGATGCAGGTTTTACTCCAGCAGGTGGCTGCGTTTCATAGTTTCTGATATGGATACGTGGTTATTCCCTTGTTAGGTTGTAGGTGAAGTTTCTGTCTCTCTATGGGTCTTTGTATCATTTTTCTGGGTTTCAAAGAGTGGAGTTAAGTGATTGAGTTCACTCTATCCTCTTTTCATTTCTGTGGACGTTTTAAAGCCAAGAATATAATGTTAGGCGGTACAGTCATATCTAATGCAAGCTCACTGAATATATCATATCATTTAGAATCTTCGCATCTGATTTTCCACTGAAGAGAAGCCCCTAGGGGTTTATGTCACAGTAACTTTTAGTCTTTTTTAAAATATCCGACCTTGCTAGAGATTCTGACCTGCCTTCTAATGAGGATTTGTCCTTACCACCACCGATCGCCTCTTTTATGTAAGCCTTAGGACTATAACCAGTGATCCATGCTACAACATGGATGAACCTAGAAAACATTATGCTGAGGGAAATCAGTCACAAACTGTAAATACTGTAAGATCCAAATTATATTAAATATCTAGAGTAGCTGAGTGTATAGAGACCAAAGTTTATTAGTGGTTACCAGGGGTGAGAGAGAGGGGAAAGGAGAGTTATTGCTTAAGGGGCACTGAGTTTCTGTTAAGAGTGAGGGAAAGATTTGAAAGTGAATAGTGGTGATGGTTGAACAACATGATGAACATAATTAATGTCACTGAACTGTACATGTGAAAAGTGTTGAAGTGGCAAATGTTACGTTTGTTGTTGTTAGGCGCTGTCAAGTCAGTTTTTGACTGTGTCCCATTGGGTTTTCTTGGCTGTAATTTTTACAGGAGCAGATTGCCAGATCTTTCTCCCTCGGAGCAGCTGGGTGGGTTCAAACTGCCAACCTTTCAGTTAGAGCTTAACTGTTTGCACCACCAGGGCTCCTTGTTACAGGTATATTTGCCACAAAAGGAACACTGATAATGATGGCAGATGTGGTTGGAGGGGAAAAAAGATTGAAAGCCACTGTTTCATACTCATATTGAATCTATTGCCAGAAGCTATGAAATTCTGAGGAGCTTATGTTAAAAATCTCACCTTGATAATCATGCTGTCATATTTTCTTCTTATTTAAGACAGTCTTTGCTTCATGTGGTTTAAAAGCATTTGAGTCCTTGTGAAAAAAACAACAAACTCATTGCCGTGGAGTTGATTCCAATCGTGGCGACCTCACATGTTACAAAGTAGGACTGCTCCATGGCTGTAGTCTTTACAGAAGCAGATCGCCAGGCCTTTCTTCTACAGTGCCACTGAGTGGGTTCGAACCTCCAACCTTTAAGTTAATAGTCGAGCACAAACCATCTGCACCACCCAGGGACCTGTTTGGGTCCTTGGCCCTCTTTAAATATTAGAAAGAGAACATTCTTCCCCACCTATGCACAGGCTCTTTCCTTGGTAATACCAGAGACTTTAGTTATATTTAAAACTGCCTTACCAGACACCTCGAGTCCAGCAGTTTATTACAAGTGTAAATCCCAGCAGACCTGCTAAGGTTTATTTTAGGAATGTAAGTAAGGTTTGTTGAATATTGCCTGCCATTTAAAAGAGGTTCAAAAGCTGTGAAATTTTTCGATGGTTTTAATTCATCTGGTTACACGTTAGAAGTTTTCTTTATCCTAATACATAATAAAAGAAGCCCTGATGGCACAACAGTTAAGTGCTCCACTGCTAACCGAAAGGTTGGCGGTTTGAACCTACCTGGCAGCTCCAGGGTAGAAAGACCTGGCAGTCTGCTTCCATAAAGATTACAGCCTAGAAAACCCTATGGGGCAATTCTACTCTGTCACATGGGATAGCCATGCGTTGGAATCGACTCCACAGCAATCAATAACAGCAACAAGAATACATAATAAAGGAATTTGCTTTCAGACTTGAAGCCTTTGCAGGAGACCAAGGAGTTACCTCCAAAGAAGGACTTTTGTGAAGAAAAGTTATCCCAGGCATTGATCATGGAGAGATTTACAAACTATAGCCTGGAGTGCTCCATATTAGAGGAAAACTGGGATTCCACTGCTCTGTTTGAGAAACAGCCGGTAAGTTGGGATAAATTTTAGGCAAGAGAATACCTTCTTCATAAAGATGCCCTTTATTGAGGAAAGAGACCATGACTCGTGCTACAATAAATATGGGAGAAGTTTCCATTGGAATACAATAGTTCTTACAAAATAGGTTGTTTCTTCAGAACAAAGAGTACATAATGTTGATACACATAAAAAAAGCACAATAAAATCAGTTGTAATGAATCACAAGCAAGTCTGTGCTGGTCAGAAACGTTTGACACATAATCAATGTCAGAAATCTGAGCAGAATTTCAACCCTTACTCTTCACCAAAAATTTCATACTGGAGAAAAACCCTGTGGGTGTGTTGAATGCATATTAAATGTGGGAAAACCTCCAGCCAACTTTAGAAAATTCATATGGTGTGTAATTTCATTGTCGTCTCCAAAGTTGCCACTTCTCCATGGCAGAAACTGTTTCTCCTATTTTTCTCTTTTTTTCCAAACATACAAGACATAACTAGGTCCAGTTTATGAGATGGATTGACACAGGGGCTGCAACAATGGGCTCAAGCATAACAACAATCATGAGGATGGTGCAGGACTGGGCAGTGTTTCGTTCTGTTGTACATAGGGTAACTATGAGTCGGAACCAACTCAGTGGCACTTAACAGCAACAACAGGCCCAGTTATTATGTGACTTGGATTACTTGAAAATATACACAGCAAAACCTGCTGCTATTCAACAGTTTCTAGACATAACGATCATTGAGACTGGTTACATTCTTCACATTGTGTCAACATTCTCTTTATTTTTCTTCTACTTCTTTCATTCCCCTTGATGTAAACTCTCTCCTCCCTTACTTTCTCATCTGTGCTTTGAAATAGATGATGTCCATTTGGTCTTATATAGATATTTTTTAAAAGAATGTGATATTCAAGGGTGATAGTCTTTACTTTTTGAGCTGAACTGTTAACTTAGTTTAAAGGTGACTTCAGGGGATAGTATCAGTTCAAGGCTTGAAGAGTAAATCAGTAGTCTCAGGGACTCCTCCAGTCTCAATGGGTCCAGTAGGTCAGGATTCTTCAAGAATTTGAGGTTCTGTTCTACATTTTTTTCCCTTTGTATCAGGATCCATCTGTTGTGTTCCTCATCAGAACATTCAGTAGTGGTAGCTGGTCACCATCTAGTTCTTTTGGTCTCAAGGTAGAGAAGGCAGTGATTCGTGGAGACAGTCCTGTAGTTCGGTTCCTTGTCTGCCTCTTAGGTTTCTTTCTTTCTCTTTTGTTCCAGATGAATAGAGACCAATAGTTGTATCTTAGATGGCTGCTCTTAAGCTTTTAAGATGCCAGACACTACTCACTGTACTGGGAGGACAACGTAAACTTTAAAACTTATATTATGTCAATTGACTGGATTGTCCTACAAGCTTAGTCGTGAGTCTTTGGCAGCATTTGAACATAGCCCATTCCCATAGAGCCATGTAGGTTCATGAGCATGATGTGATTGAGAATGTGTTTGTACCATTTCAGGGCTTGGTGACTGTCAGGGATGTGGCTGTAGACTTCTCCCAGCAGAAGAGTTTCTGTAAGACTGTGATGTGGGAGAACCATGGTGGCCTGGGGTCAGTAGGTAAGGACTTTCCTGCTCCCAAATCTGAATGTACCTTCAGGGACCCCCATTTTCCTACCTCATTTTTCAATTATGAGAGTGTGGGGGAGGGAGGAATGGGGGTTTTCTGAAGTGCTAGGCTCAATTTGTGCCCCTGACTTCCAAAATAAGAATTTGACATTTGTAGAGTTGAAAGTTGGTAACTGTGTTACGGAGTTCCTGGGTGGTGCAGATGGTTAACGTATTCAACTGCTAACCAAAAGATCAGAGGTTCAAGTCCACCCAGAAGTGCCTAAGAAGAAAGGCGCCTAGAAATTTACTTCCAAAAATCAGCCATTGAAAATCCTATGGAGCACACTTCTACTCTGACATATGTGATATCACCATGAGTCAGAGTTGACTCCGTGATAGCGTATACTGATTAACTTTGTTATGCTAGAAGCATCATCTTTTGTGTCTTTTAGATACTCCTCACCTTTTCTGCTTCCTGTAATATAACTTTTCTAAAACACAGAAACTGTTTTTCAATTTGGAATGCTAATGATATGACCAAATGTCATCTCTTTTCATATATACAGGATGTAGTGTTTCTAAGCCAGATTTGGTCTCCTTACTGGAGCAAGGTACAGAGCCCTGGATGGTGAAAAGAGAGTTGACAGGAGGCCTGTTCTCAGGTGAGTGCAGGAGAATGTGGTGTGGAAAAGCCGTGCAGGTTTAAGCTAAACTTTTTTCAGAGGTTGACTCCTCACTAATGTATACAATAGACAGCTCTTACCAAGTCCTCCAGGTCTGGAGAGAAATTTGAAGTCTCTTAGTCTGGGCTTCCAAAACTATTCCCTTCTTTGCCCCCTTCTCTCTAATGATAACTCACCTCCCCTAGGTTTTTGTATGAATCTTCACAGTCTGGGATCTTCTTACATACATTGTAGACAGCATGTCTGATTGTAATAACTTTTAGAGCTGCATTATGTATGTGGTATTTATTAGTATTTTAATTCACCAACTTTCATTTTAGATGATGATTCATTCATTCTAGCACATGGAAAAGGAAATATTTGTTTTCTTGATATTTTTCAGGCCAGCAATCTGTATGTGAGACCCAGAAATTCTTTCCAAAGCTGGACACATATGATGAAATGGTGGACAGAATTTCAGACACTAACCTTGAGTGTTCCATTTTCAGAGAAAAGTGGGATTCTGATGGCTTGTTTGAAAGGAAGCTGGTAGGTCAGGAGACAAAATTCCGGCAAGGGATCATCACTCACAACAAAACCCTCTCTAAGGAAAGAGACCAGACATATACCAAATCTGGAAGATGGTTCTATTTGGACAATTCAGAAGAGAAGGTTCACAATCGTGATTTGGTTAAGAAAGGTTTCCCGAAAAACTCAGTGGTGGTAAAACACACAGGAATCTATGTAGGAAAAAAACTCTTCATATGTAATGAATGTAAGAAAACTTTTACCCAGAGCTCATCCCTTACAGTTCATCAGAGAATTCATACTGGAGAGAAACCCTATAAATGTAATGAATGTGGGAAAGCCTTCAGTGATGGTTCATCCTTTGCACGACATCAGAGGTGTCACACCGGCAATAAGCCCTATGAATGTGTTGAATGTGGGAAAGCTTTCATACAGAACACATCCCTTATCCGCCACTGGAGGTACTATCATACTGGGGAGAAACCCTTTGATTGCACTGATTGTGGGAAAGCCTTCAGTGATCACATAGGGCTTAGTCAGCATAGAAGGATTCATACTGGAGAGAAACCTTACAAATGTGATGTATGTGACAAATCCTTTAGGTATGGCTCATCGCTTACGGTGCATCAAAGGATTCATACTGGAGAAAAACCATACGAGTGTGATGTTTGTAGGAAAGCCTTCAGCCATCATGCATCGCTCACTCAACATCAGAGAGTGCATTCTGGAGAAAAGCCTTTTAAGTGTAAAGAATGTGGGAAAGCTTTTAGGCAGAATATACACCTTGCTAGCCATTTGAGGATTCACACTGGAGAGAAGCCCTTTGAATGTGGAGAATGTGGGAAATCCTTCAGCATCAGCTCACAGCTTGCTACCCACCAGAGAATTCATACTGGAGAGAAGCCCTATGAATGTAAAGTGTGTAGTAAAGCCTTCACCCAGAAGGCTCATCTTGCCCAGCATCAAAAAACCCACACAGGAGAGAAACCCTATGAGTGTAAGGAATGCGGCAAAGCCTTCAGCCAGACCACGCACCTTATTCAACATCAGAGGGTTCATACTGGAGAGAAGCCCTATAAGTGTATTGAATGTGGGAAGGCCTTTGGTGACAACTCATCCTGTACTCAACATCAGAGACTTCATACTGGCCAAAGACCTTATGAATGTATTGAGTGTGGGAAGGCATTCAAGACAAAGTCATCTCTGATTTGTCATTGCAGAAGTCACACTGGAGAGAAACCTTATGAATGCAGTGCATGTGGCAAAGCCTTTAGCCATCGTCAATCCCTTAGTGTCCATCAGAGAATTCATTCTGGAAAGAAACCATATGAGTGTAAGGAATGCAGGAAAACCTTCATCCAAATCGGACACTTAAATCAACACAAAAGAGTTCATACTGGAGAGAGATCCTATAACTACAAGAGAAGTAGGAAAGTTTTTAGGCAGACTGTACCCTTTGCTCATCATCAGAGAATGCATACTGGAGAGTCATCAGCAAGCCCCTCTTTACCTCCCTCATCAAGTCCTGTGGACCTATTTCCCAAATATCTATGGAATCCATCCTCACTGTCATAATCATAGTCTCAAGACATCATTTCACCTAGACCACACCAATAGTTTAAAAACTGATGTATCTGCCCTTTTTGGTTTGTTTTATTTTTCTCTTATATAAGCTTATTCTTCACTTTGCAGTCCAAGTGATTTTTTTGTAATTCTTTGACTCACGTAAAACTTGTGTTGAAATCATTTAAATTGGTTAATCCATACGATGTGCTTAGCACAGTGTCTGGGCCTTGCTAAGTGTTCAACAATGTTAGCTGTTTTAGAAACATTATTTTTGGACATTGAAGAGTTACCATAGTCTGCTCTGAATAAAAATGATGCATAGAACAAGGCTAGGAGAACCCAGATTTTAGAGCAGGAACAGGAGTTCTTGAGGTGGATTGATGAAGTTTAGCCTATGTGGGTTTTAAACTTGATTGCATGATGTTGAGTTAGTATTGTGGCTTTGTATCTGAATTCAGTGAACATAAGGTGATGTGACCTGTTGTTGAGAAAATTCAACTTTACTATATATCTGACGACAGTCTTAGAAAGTGCCTGGATGACATGGATGAGTGGGGCACCTGGAACAAAAGAACTAAGCCAATCAGAAAAATGCAAGGTTTATGTGCATAGAGTTAAAACTACTGGCATGTTACTCAAAAATTTAAAAAGAATGGAATCCAATCTATTTAAAGTTACATGGGTTTATAACTGAATTCTATTAAACTTTCAAGCAATCATTAAAGGTAAACAGATCTAGAGTTGGGGTCAGCAAACTATGACTTGTGGCCAAATTTCCACTGCCTGTTTTTGTATGGGAGTCCCTGGATGGTACAGTTAATGTACTTGGCTGCTAACTGAAAGGTTGGAGGTTCACATCCATCCATAGTCACCTTGGAAGGCCTGGCAATATAATTTTGAAAAATCAGCCACTGAAAACCCTGCGGAACACAGTTCTACTCTGACATACATGGGGTCACCCTGAGTTGGAATTGAAGCAGCTGGTTGATTTTTTGTATGGCCTGTCAGCTAAGAATAATTTTTACATTTTTAAATAGTTGATTAAAGTGAAAAGAAGAATATTTTATGACATGAAAATTATATGAGATTCAAGTTTCATTGTTCCTAAATCAAGTTTTATTGGAACATAGCCACACATTTGTTTACATATTGTCTATGGCCGTTTTCCAAAGGCTACAACAGCAAAGTTGAGTAGTTGCAATGGAGACTGTATGGCCCACGAAACCAATAGTATTTATGTCTGGCCCTTTATGGAAAATGTTTGCCAATCCCTGCAGTAGAGCAGAGGTCAGCAAACTACAGCCCATAGGCCATATCCAATCTGATTCCTGTTTTTGTAAATAAAGTTTTATTGGACTACAGCCACGTTCCTTTACGTGTTGACTCTGGCTACTTTCATGGTACAGTGGCAGAGTAGAGTAGTTGTGACAGAGGCCATATGGCCTACAAAGCCTCAAATATTTACTATCCTTTTACAGAAAAAGTTTGCTGACCACTTTTATAGAGCAGAGAAAAATATTGAAGAAGTTCTAATTCTTTCTATGAAGGTATTACAACTCTGACATCTAAAACAAGAAAGCAAACTGTAAAGCAATTTATTGAATGTAGATGAAAGGAAATTATTAAACTATTGGAAAATAGAAAATATGTGAAAGGGTTTTTCTAGAAAAAAGACTCAGTGCTATTAAAATGTTTGTAAATTGTAATCCAAACAGAATCCCAGTAGGGATCTGTTTACCTTGACCATTTTATTTGAAACAACATAAGGAAGGGTAATTAGGCAAGAATAGCAAGATTTTTGAACTACAGTTCTTTGCATGTGAGATTTTGGTATCTAATAAAACTGGTCTTTCAATATTGGGGAACTGATACTTTGAGAATTGGTTATCCACCTCTCCATAAAAAAAGATGCATACTTCAGAGATTACACAGCAACATAATAAAATTTTATTTAACATCTCTATGAAATAATTAAATGTTAGAGGCAAACATAGAAAAGAGGAAGGCTTTATTAAGCAGGGCATGGAATCCTAAAAATCCATAAAGGAAGAGAATAAGTTGGCCTGTGTAAAAATTTCAATTTCTGCATAGTGAAAGGCACCAAAAAGTGTTAAAACACAATTGATAGAAAACGTGTAACTATACAATAACGTCAGTTACAAAGAAAGTGCTGTTAGATATACAAAGCAGTGGGAAAAATTAGAATACAACAGGCATTGCCCAATTGAAGAATTCAAATATATAAAGAAAATTTGTGAAGTTCTTAACCTTACTAATCAGAAAAATGCAAATTAATTTCTCTTGGTTCTTGGTTTAAAATCTAAAATTCGGATAATATCCAGGACTGTTATCATCTGGGAAAACAGGTATTTGTTCACCATTAGCAGTGTAAATTTGTCTCCTACCTTTTTGGATATCAATGTGGTATGGCCTGTCAACATTACAAATATGCATTCCTTTTGATACAGTAATTCCAGATCTAGGAATTTTATCCCATTGAAATAGAGTAAATAACACTTATTGCAGAATTGTTTTAATTGCAACAAATAGGATTTCAGTGTCCTGTCAAGCTGCTTGATTAAATTGTAGTTATGCAATACTGTGTTATGCAGTTAGTAGAAAGAGGTTATGTTGTATGTCTAATTCCATGGAGAGTTGTCCACAATATATTAAATGAAATATGTGATTTGCAGAACATTATGTATAAACTGATCTGGTAGTCGTAGAGTCAAAATTAATATTGAATATAAAATCATGCGCTGCTTAACGTCCACGATGTTTTGTGAAATAGGACGTTATGTGATTTGAACATTGTGTGAACACTGTATTATATACAGGCAATCCCTGGATTACTAACGAGTTCTGTTCCTAAGTCTGGCTTTAAGTCGCACTTGTACGTAAGTCTGAACAATTAGGTACAGTTTGTATCTAATGTCAGTTAGTCAAATGTTTATCTTAGTATGTAGTATATAGTGTACCTTTCTATGCATAAAAAAACTTGTAGATACACTAAAACATCTTTAACATAGTAATAATAATGTTTTGATGGGCACCACAAAGTAGCCTCCATTATTACTAACCATTGTATGTGCCTCGAATTTTTAACCTAATAGGCTTTATGGGGGTTGGGACCACCAACATATATGTGGTTGTTGCCCAAATTGTCGTTAGGCGGCACATGACTGTATATGTATTTTATATGTAGAAATCTGTTTTTGTCTTTAACAGGTACACTTAGCTCTTTCTGGGCACTTTCCCTTTCCTTTTTTTCATTCTGTGTTTTCCTGGTGAGCTGCCAGTCACACTTGGGCCCAGTTGAGCTGTCAGATTTTTCATTCTTTGTCATTTGATTAGAGATAAGGGTATAGGAGCAGGGACAATATTCAGCTTTATGAACCAGTGTGACCATAATGGATGGTTTCTTTCAGTCAGGGTCCATTTCGATTGGTTGGGGCCCTTATTGTACCAGCTGATAAACATCTGGACTATCACTCCAGGACAGTAGTAGTTGGAATTGAATTATTCTTTGGCAACAAACCCTTTCTGTTCCTCTGCCTATCACTGATCCATTTAAATGGTTCCTGTTTTCTTACATCCGAGTTTTCCTCAGGTCTTTAAGTCTGTGAGCTACCTGGTGTTCTTCCAATATTTAGCTTCTAATTTGAAACTATAGTCAGGTTCTTTTGTTCTCAAACAAACAAATCTAGTCAATACAGAAATTTTACTAGAGAATGGTTATCAGGCCACAGAGAAGCAGAGTATTAAGAATTGATTATTAAGTGAAGTAGATCAAAAGGTAAACTCTTAATCATATTTTGTACTAGGGAAGGCTATTCATGGTATAGCAGAATCATAAACCCATAGCATATGTGGTAGATGGCTCTTACCACAAATTAATTGAGAGGTGATGAGGAATGCTAGGTTCAAAAGTCTGCTTCTTGTTAATGAACTCGGATAATTAAAAGTAAAAGGCCATTTGAAATTCTGGCCATAAGAAAGCAAAATCAGGACCTTATTGTGACTTGTGTTCAAAAGAATCTCTTGCTGCTTCTAATCATGGAGCTGCAATTGCTGAAAACCAAATGCAACAGGTCCAATGAGTTGCTGAGCTATGATGCTTATTGAATTCCCAACCTTGCCACTAAAATGAAATTGAAGTCATTATTTCCAGAAGATTTGAATCCAGGTTATTGGATTGGGGCTATCAGCAAGGATTCAAAGATCTTAGAAAACTTTGACTTCGCCTCTCAAACTATGAGAAACCTCCCTACTAATTGTCCCTTGTGACAGAAAATGCCTAATTTGCTCTACTAGCCCCACCATTATTGCTTGGCTGGTAACCAAAATCTGAATTGAATGTGACCCAGAGGTAGAAATACTGAAAGATAAGAGATTAATTTCATCCAGAAATATTTAATATCTTCCAATAATTATACCATCAAAATCTAGGGGACATTTTTGGAAATTATTTTGAGGGCTAGAAGTTACTTTGCATGTTATATGAGGACTTGGAAGAATTCAATAGATTATAATGCTGGATTGGATCCTTTTCTCCCATGCCCGTCACTCATCTTTTGCAAGTTCCCCTAATGTCCCGGTAGCCTTTCCATTTCTTTGACATGACAGAAGAACCAGCATCTTCAAAAATTTCTTTATGGCTACTCCTTTAGGTACTGGGAGTTGAGAGAGTGATTGCATTTGGAGAGGGTATCTGATTTCTGTAGTAAACTGGCATGTGTGGTAGCGGAATTATAGGGCAACAGTTAACCATACAAAGAAAATGAGAATGGTCATAATAAACTCTGAACTCCAGGAACTTTCTGATATGCTGATATTTGCACTGTATTTAGTAATAGATCCCGAGGGCTGAAATCCCACTAAGGTCTTGTGTTAATTAAGAACACTCCATGGCACGGCACCCGAGTCCTGCATTGACTTGAGTCAATGGAAAGGGGACTGAGTACTCTTGAATGACTGTAATTTAAATCACTGAACAGTTCCAGTAGAATTCCTAAAGGACCTGCATTTATGCAGAGTGAGGGCTTATGATAGAATTCTTATCCATGTGTCGCTTACAGCAGGTTCAGTGAGGCAAAAAACCCAAACTGGTTATTTTCCCAGGTCCTGGGTATGCATGTGTTAAGATCTATGACTGATGAGATGCTCATCAAAAATTTATGCTTCCTCTTCTGTTGTCTGGAATTGATTCTGGTATGTGGCTGCCCAGCCACAAACTACATCCAGTTGTGGCTATTAGACTAATTTTTTTCAATGGGGTGTGAATAGAAGTGACGTGTGTCGCTTGGGGCCAGTTATTCAAAAGAGGACATACTGTCCAGCTGCAAGAAGAACAATTGCAATCGTATGGGACGGCAAATCAGCAAGATGGAAGAACTCTAAGTCCCTACACCAATATTTGGAGGAAAGCCTGCAGTCACCCAGGATCTTCAGCAATGGATTTTTATGTGAGTGAGAAATAAACTTCTATTGTGTTAAGATAATGACTTTCGGGTTTTAATTGTAGTAGCTGCTAGTGTAATCCTAATCAATATGGTGCTTTTGACTACTGATAGAATCCCTAACTCACAAAGTCATGGAGTAAGAGCTGTGATGGTATGTTATCTATTGTTGTGTAACAAAGTACCCCAAAACTTAGTGGCTTAAAACAAATATTTATTATCTCACAGTTTCTTTGGGTAAGGAATCCAGACATGGTTTACCTGGGTGCCTCTGGCTCAGGGTCTCTCGCAAGGTTGCCATTAAAGGTGTTGGCAGGTGCTGCAGTCATGTGA